TCAGACCCAAAAGCTACAACTCTTGTTGCATAGGTCCTGCTTACCTTGGTTTTAACCATCCAGCAGAAAAGTCTGAAAACGAAGTATAAGAAGTAAAGCCAGGGGGCCTGGCCCTAGCTCAGGCATTTAAGTGGCTGCTTCCGCAAAGCTGTCAGCCTCAGGTTGCTGGAGTTCGAACCTCACAGCTCTCCTGCTGGCCAAAAGTGCCCTGAAGGCATTCGAGGAACAAAAAAAAAAAAAAAGAAGAAGAAGAAGTAAAGCCATGCTGTTACGTTGAACTGTAGGGGACTCAGGTCAATAATTTCTGACATTGCCAGTGAAGCGGAAGACCCAATACTATTATGGACTACTGGACTCTTTTAGAATATTTTGCTGAGTTTACACACCTATAATATGCAAATGACAGAACTAAACAAAAAAGGGGATACAGATGAATGTCCATTTTGTATCTGTGTATTCAAAATGATTAGGATAGGTATATAGTTACGTTCTCTTAATGAATAGAGACATTTGTTCTAATAGTGTTTTTTAAATAGGATATCATGTTCATATCTTGTACAGCAAATAACCACTAGGAAAAGAGTATGCAATGTGTTAATTATTGAAACTATCATACCAATTTGATTTGAAACTGTCTCATTGCTATTTGTCTCTCAATAAAATTATGGGGAAAAAAAAAAAAGAATTTATTTAGCCACTGCTATGTGCAAGGCACTTCCTCCTTATCAGTGATATAAGGATGATGAAGACCAGCAATTTTTTATCTACTAAAACTCTATATAGAGAGTGTATGATGGGGCGTAGGAGTTGGGATGAAGATTGTGTAGAAAAAGCAAACTATTTTTCCTCTGCTCTTACACAATCAATATATAAGGCTTCTGTTGACTTCAAATGATTTGGAACTCTCTCCCCACTAGCAAGCAAGCTCAGTGTCCTCTAATCCAGTTCAGTTCTGATGCTGTTAACCTGGAGATAGTATCAGCCCACAGGTTGAACACTCAGTCTTCAAGGATGCATCCTCCATTCTAGCTGAAACCCTAGGTTATTTCACTTGTGCTTCTGAGTGAGGGAAACACTTATAAAAAGTATTACAAAGGATATAGAGAAGTGATTCATAGGACAAAGTATACAAAATAGAGTACAGTTGCTTTGCTTTTTCTGGAGCAAAGATTTTTTTTTTTCTGATGATAAATTCCAAGTACCTAGAACATCTTCCTGCATATAGCTGGTACTCTATCAGTAATTGCTGAAAGAATGAATGTCTATTTTGGTTTTACACTGTATTGTAATCATGTGTATGATTATTCTTTTTTATCTGCCTCAATCCTGGAATACAATGTGTAGTCATCTTCATATTACTAAAGACATGGTCCTAACATGCGGTACCTGGTAAAAATTAGCTTCAGTTATGCATACATTCATTCAGCCAATAATTAAAGAGCTAGGAACTAAGAATACAAAGATGATTAAGATATTTTTACTAGGGTCTAGGGGTGGAGCTCAGCCATGGAGCTCTTGCTTAGCATGTACAAGACCCTTAGTTTGAGCCCTAGCACTGTAAAAATAAAAATAAAATAAAATATTGTCATTAACCTCAAGGAGTTTACCCTAATGATAAAAAACAGGTGAGTAGGCCTGATAACAGTGTTTAGTAGTAAGTACTACAAAAAAGGTAAGAACAAACACAGCCTTAGGAGTGTCAGGGAAGGTCAGCAGGCAAAAGAAATAGTGGAATTGCCTTCAGCCAGATGAAGAAGAGAACATAGGAGTATCACAGGCAATGTCCAAAGGGAGAAAATAGGGCCTTTTCTTTCTTTCTTTCTTTTTCTTTTTCTTTTTGTATTTTAGGGAAATAGGGCCTTTTGGAAATCTTGAAGTAGTTAAGTAACCTGGTGTTAGATGAAGCTGCAGTGATGGGCCAAGATCATAAAGCACCTGAACTTTATCCTGAAGACAATGGGAGTCATTAATGGGTGAATAATGAGGCAGAAGAATAATGTGGTCAGATATGCATACAAGACTACTTGTACTCTAGTCTGGAGAATTCATTGGAAAAACAATAATAGTCATTGTAAAAGATGATGTTGGCCTGCACTAAAGTACAGGTAGTGGCAAAAGAGATTAATGGAAAAAAAAAAAGAGATTAATGGACAGATTTGAGAGATATTAAGGAAGTTGGATCAATAAAATTTAGCACCTACTTAGATATTAGGATAAGAATGATGGAGTGATCATAGATGATTCTCTTGTTTTTAATTTGGGCACATTGGATAAGTGAGAACAAAGATTAAGAATGGACTTAGAGAGGCAGATAATGAATTCCAATTAAGATATATTGGAGTTCTTTAGAACTTATGCATGGAGACTTTCATTAGGCATTCAGATACACATATGGATGTAGAATTCAGATGTAAATTGAATGTGAAATATGGGAATTTTTGCTTATGAATGGCAATTGATTCCTAGGAATTGATGAGATCACTCAAAAAGAATGGAGAAAAAAAGGATGAAAAGATAACCAGAGAGAGAACTCTGGGAGAATATACAAGTAAAAGCATTCTTAAAGCATTTTTAAAGGGAACAAATAAAGAAAAAAATGACAAATAGGAACATATAGAAGGGATGCTTTCTAGTGCTACCTAAATATTTCTACTGGGGCTGAAAAAATAACTGAGCAGTCTGAGCACCTGCCTACGAAGCTCAAAGTCCTGAATTCGATTCCCAGAACTGCATGCTGGGCCAGCTCCAGAATCCTGGGTGTACCATGCTAGCCCTGAATCTAGGCATGGTGGTACACACCTGTAATCCCAGCTCTGGGGAGGCTGAGACAGGAGGATCACTATGCATCTGAGCTGTGTAATAAAACTCTGTATCAAATAAATAACGATTAAAAAAATAAATATTGCTACTGAATCAACCAACTGTCCTGTCTATGCTTAAACAAAATCCTGTTCTTGAGTTTCTCAAAGGAGACTATGTTATTAAACCAAAAATAGAAAATAGAGAAAGGTTACACAGTAGAAAGCATCTATTCAGGACTTTTTCAGACCCATGTGAATACTCTTCTCCAAAGGCTGTATTGGTATTTGAATCATAGTATCCCCTTATTAGTCTGAATGCAAGAAAGCTATGTTTGAAATATAATATGAAGTACACTAAGAATCATTTGATGCTCATTTAATCTTTATGTCATCCAGACAATCTTTCTAATCTACCTGACTGCTATCTTTTTGCTTGGCCAGTTGGCTTTGGAACCAAATACTCAAACTTCATACCAAATATTCATCTGAAAAATGTACCTTGAACATTCCTTTGTTAAGGAATGTATTGTTTTATAAATGTGTTGTTTTATATAGAGCATATAGATTGTCTATGTTAGCAAATGTCCCCTGATAACATACTGCTTTTGAACCCCCTAATTTTCTATGAACCATTGAAAATTCCCAGGCCCACTGGTTGTTTTGGGATTGCATACATTTTTGATGTTTTGACTAACTCACTGCAATAAAATTGTAGTTCTTCAACTTGTAATAAAACCCTGGTTTATTTGAACAATAGAAGAAAAATAGAACAAAACTATTAAACCATCAAGCCAACTTGTCATTTGAGAATTTATACACCATCTTCTCTTGTTTCATATGTTCCCAGACCTGATGGAGAGGAGGACAGTTTGGTTTCAGTGGAAAGCATGCCCAAGCAACATTTCTAGACAATTTGAATTTTCCAAGTATTTTTTCTTATAACCAAACCATAACAAATTCATCTCCTAGGTAAAGAAGTTGTTTATGTGTTTTGAGCTTGTATGTTGCTATTTCCTTTACTTTATAGCCGGCCATTTCAAACTTCTGCGTGTGTAAGCAAACCAGGTATTTGATAAGCAGCTCTATTTATTTTCTCAGAGTTTTACTACTCTATATAGTCAATGTCTTAGTTTAAGCTACAGGGAGTTTGTGGTCTCTGTGATCAGGAATTCAACTGCTTTTCAAAACTAGGGCAACCCATTCAAGACCCCTCTGTCTCTCAGGAGTTATTCCTATTCCCCATTCCTTTTCTCTGATGAATTTTCTTACTCTTAAATGAAACTAGAGCATAAAATAGTGTTTAAACCACCCATCCCTAGAATAAATCATGTTACATGGTAATTAAATGCTTTACTGACATTCCTATTTGGTAGTAATAATACATTAATAATTATAATAACATGAATGTATATATAAGAGATAATATTGGAGCCTTTGCTAGATATTCTGACAAGTCTTGCATTAAAATATTTTACATTCAGTTTTCCTTCCAAGGAGAGAACAGAGGACAGGAAAAAAACCTTTCCTCCCATCTAGTGGCTGAAAAAATGTAAATGTCCTCTATGTGTTTCTTGAACTTCTGGGCATCTAGAGATTTCCTAACTGGTTATAATATATCCAGTTGTTACTTAGTTAACTGAAAATAAGTCGTAAAATCTTTACCAAAGCTGAGCCTGCTGGAAATGGTGATGTTTCATGATAACTCACTAATCAAATTCACTATAATCAATAATATACTTCTTTTTAGTAGAAGAGTCATGGATCTTCTTAATTCACTAATCTGAACATACTGGAAAGACAAGGCTATATGTCTCTGCTAACTAAAATTGGTACTTAAATTATGTTTGCCTTTAAAGAATCAGTGATCTAGATCTCTTCTGACCCTTAATTGCTCCTTGTTGGCCCCACACCTTGACAACCCTTCCCTTAAGAGTTAAATGAGCTGAATTCACTGGAGAGAGCCAAGAAAATGTCCCAAAACAGGCTGCCTTCAGGGGACCTCAGCTCCTGAAACTTGGAATACCAGAATCTGATCCTGGCAGCAGGGCCTTGGTATAGGGCCAAACCAACCCACAGAAAAGCAGGTTTGGATCCGTTATGAGCTTGAGGGATTAATGCTTGGTCTACCTGTCTTATATATGTCTTGTACAGATGTCAAAGCCTCTGCTAAATTGTGCCTTTCTCTGGTAATTCTCACAGATGCAAAGAATGAATTTTGTGTACAGTCAGCAAAGTTCTGAGAGTTCCAGGAAGAAGAGGAAGGTCAGCGAACCAGTGAAAAAGATTCATCTCTAACAGAAAATAAAAGCTAGATGCTTTGTCTCATTCAAAATAATTGAATTTTTGCAAAACATGTATGAAGTATGTAAGCAACAAATTAAAATTTCATAATCAAAACTTTTTTCAAATTTGTTTCTAATTTTTTAGTCAGTGCCAAACTAACTGAGTAGGATTTAGGTTCATTTTGCCACAAGGAATGAAGGTAGCTAGACTGCTTTGGGATAGCACCACTTCAAGTCTGAGTTAGAGGTGAGACATGCTTTGTTTATAAAAGAACTACAGCACCTATAAGCTGTTGTTCTCATAATAAAACTTTCAAAGTATTTAGACTACTATAAAACATTTCAACTTGTTTTAACTTGTGTCCTGGAATCTCTCTATAGCTTTATTAAAATTCCCACAGAGTTACATAGGGTATGTGCGGAGGAGCTTAGTTAGGTATGATTTACGTGTTAAATTTAGTCACGAGGTAAATTAGCTAAGTGTGGGACCCACATGTGCTGTACAGTGTATCAGCTAAATGCAGGGCCACACATTCCTTATAGAGTTTCTCAACTTGAGCCCCAAACCATGTCCTGTTGGGCAGCTGTAAAGGGGACATGCTTTAATTCAGGAACTTGGTTCCCTTTTAAGTCCTATGTTATTACTAAGAAATGAAAATTTCTTAATAAGTACTTCAGTATATTAGTTTATAACCTGTAGATGGTTTATTCATCTCCTCATCCTGGAATTTTTTTTATAGACTTAAATGATCGGTATGAGTAAAGTATGACTTAAGTATTATTTTTATTTATATAACATGAAATTAAAAACTTTGAATAGAATCAATAAGTTAAAAGTAAATGTATGTGCTTTATGGTTAAATAAAACAGAAACACAAGTTGGTAGGGTTTTTTTCTCTGTCATCCTTTTTTACAATGAGTAATTTCTTCACTTAGATCAGTGTTTCTTCAAATATAAAATGTAGTGCGGCTATCAGTACCTGGAACACTATTAAGATGTGGATTGGGCCTGCTGCATTTCTACCAAGTCAAACTCTCAGCAATAGGCTCTGGGGAAAATTGAGGATTTTAACGCACACAAAAAATTGAGAACTTGTGACGTCTGGCCCAGACTATGGAGGCTCTCTAGGCCAGGTGTGCATGTTAGCAGCAGAAGGCTGTGTGCTGCAATATCAGAGAGGAAAACCCAAGGGAACCCCTCTGTCTAGCATTATCCCTTGCTGGACGCATCCATTTTTGACTGTACAGGGCAGCCTCCCAGCTGGCACCTTCAGCGGGGTTGAAGCGTCAACCCCTGCCAGGGGGAGCATTTTCCCTGCCCAGCATATTAAATGGGTTCATGTAAGCCTGCTCTGCCACTAAAAGGAAAAGGAGTGGAAAGGTATTGAGTTTATTATATCCTTGATAGAACTGTAGCCTGAGTCACCATAATTTCTTTTACAAGAATCACATAAAGAGATTAGCTGTCTAGTAAAGGGATTAGATTTATTTTGTGTCTCTCCAGAGGGCAGATCTAAGACCAAACTGGTGAAAGCTACAGGAGGTCAATTTGGCTCATTGTAAGAAGATATTTGACTCCACAGGTTTTCATAATTGTGAATATTGTCAGAAGCCTGAGCTATATACCTTATGAAGTAGTGAGGTTGCCTGCACTATGAACATTTGAACACAAAGGTGCTCTACACAGACTCTGGGAGTTTTTGACTCAAGAAGCAAATTAGTTTACAGAATAATTAGTCAATATGATTGCAGAAGGAGCCATTTTGGATTCTTTTGTTGTTGATTATTGGTTTTCCTGAGACAAGATCTTGCTGCTTCTCAGGCTGACCTTGAACTTGGGACCCTTCTGCCTCAGCCCCTGAAGACTGAGGCTGCAGGCATGTGCCACCAGACCTGGCCAGTTGTGTTAGTAAATGGTGACTGTAGCTCTCCATGTATATCTACAGTTGTTATAGATTAAGCTGAGGTTGATAAATCTTTAAAGTTTAGAATTAAAATCTGTCTAGAAAATTTCTATAGTGGTTCTATTCTTTTTTTAAACACCCTTTGCACCAGTGAAATAGTTTTTCACTGCCTGAGGGTGGAATGTGTATTGCTGATGCAGGTATGTATGAGGCAGCGGAGAGCAGCTGTTGGGCCTATGCCCTTGGCTAGGCACACAGGGAAGGACAGCCTTATCAGGAAGATCTGAGAAGCATAAAAACTCTTGATTTTACACAACATAGCTCATATATACAACCAACTATCAAGATCGGAGAGTATTCATTTCCAATCACAGAATGATTTATTAGAAGGAAAGAAATCTTTAGTCTTTTACTTTCTGTCCTATCTGTAATGGAATGAGTAAACACAACTGCATCAAGGACCTGAAGCTTCAGAGAAAAGGAAGAAAACCAAGCCCATGAGGCAGGAAGCCTGCGATATACGAGACTAGCCCTTCCCTCACCCTGACTGTGCTTGCTTCTTCAGCGTAATTACCAAGATTAGATGACGATAGTTTGGAAACCGGGACATTGTTAAATTAAAAAATTATGCGGGGGAAGTTCGAATATGGCTGTTTGCGGTTTTTCTGTCTTTACAGAAAGTTAGTCTAGCTGGAAAGAAATGGGTTAGGCTCGTGATTGCCGCCAGCCTTTGAAGCCAGGCACCAAAACCGCACCTTCATTTCCCTTCTTGCAGGTCCCTCTGGTGTCTGGGTTCTTTGAATCTCCAGCCCACTTCTGCCAGAAAGAGGCTGGAAATACTGATCAGTGTGAAAATTGCATTCACATAAGTTCAAAGTTGTGTATTTTGTGTATTTTAAACATTGCACTCTCAAAATTGAGAGCCAATTTTCAAAGTAACTTTAAATTATCAAAGTATGGTCTCAGACCCACCAGTGTTGGATTTTTAGGGACTTCCAAGGATCCTTACAGTGAGGCTAATTCTCAGTTGTGATCAACATCCTTTCGAAGGAGATCTGAAATAAAAAAATGAAACTTAAACTGCTTATGGGAGTGAAGATTAGATCTTCCACATTGTGACTTAAGAATCTATATGAGCAAGATTCATAGGTGAATCTGAGGTGCTGACGGTTGATATGTAATTTTCAGTATCTTTATAGAACAAGGTTATCACTAAGTGTACCATTATTTTGGTTAAAAATAAAAGCTAACTTTAAATAATGGGCTTTTTTGGATGGGGGCAGAGAGATAGCTTGGTGGTTTAAGCACCTGCCTGGCAAGTGCAGGGTCCTGAGTTTGATCCCCAGTACCAAAAACAAAAAAGAATTATAGTAATGGGCTTTTTGGTTACACAATGGTAAAGTCAAGTTCCTTTTCAGAAATGGCCAGATCTGAGAGTCTAAGAGCTAATCCCCCCTAGAATGTCCACTTGGGTGCCCTGCCTCTTTGCAAATAGGGTTGCACATTCAGCAAGTGTTGCGTCCTGGAGACACACTTCTCTAGAAGGAAGCGGTAGTTCACAAGTACCTTGGCTGACTGTGCAGGGTTGGCGTATACTGGCCCTTGCCCCCTGCTGGAAGTTGCACCTAAGATTTGCTCAGTATGAGAGAGGTGAGGCAAGCTGCTTAAGATAGAAACACCTGAGAGGCATTTATGGCACATGTAAGCATTCCTTGGTATCTCAGATGTTCAGGGGCAAAGCCTTCTATGAGAATTGCTTTAGCTGTTGGACTGTTTCAGTACTCCTGAAGGCTAGGGAAGCCTGGGGCACCTAGGTCTGATGAGAATAATTACTAATTGGCTCTAGGATAAAAGGCAAGTTTAGTTTCCCATCTTCCTTTCAGCAAAGTGGTTAAGGAAAAGCCTGGGCTGCTGGGTTCAAAACCTGACTGCCATTTTCTAGACAACTTACTTCACCTCTCTGACCCTCAGTTTACTCAGTCTGAAAGATGCAGCTAACAATGGTACATGCCTTATAACTCTTGCAAGGATTAGGCAATGTGACTCAAGCAGACTGCAGGGCTTGTGTGTAGTCAGTGCTCCACAGATGTTCATCATTACTGCTATTTTTAAACTCTTAGCGTGTCCTCTTCCGTAGTCTCCAGGAGCTTAGGATCCCTGTGTTGCTTTTCTTCGTCTACCCAGAACTGCTACATCAACATCCTCTCCAAGCCTGGGGTTGGCACTTGACCATGTTCCCAGTTGCCTTTGTTCTCAGCACCTCCCCACACCCTTCCCCAAATCGAAACTCCCTTTCCCTCAGGACAGATCAGGGAAGGGAAACGTCAAATTATGCTTAACAAGCCGCCCTCCCACATTTGTATTTTAAAATGAAGCTTGTTAATAAGAAAAATGAATCTCACCTAGCGACTACAATTTGATAAGAGGTTGGATAAATAGGGAAAAAGAAAATTTAAAGAGAATTTATAGCTGTCTTCAAATATCTGAAGGGCTGAAACGAGTCACAAGAAACCATAGACACACATTCTGTGTTGTTCAAAACAGCAGAACACAGAGCCCACAGAGGAAGTCAAGGAGAGGCAGATTTAACCTCAACATATTAAGAATTTCTCCTACATCCTCTAGTAAAGTGCCTGGCACATGGAAGGTAACCAACATATTCCTGTTTTTATTAGCAATTAGAACAGCTAGCTGGTTACTGCTTCTGGCTGCAGTGAATTCCTTGTCACTGAAAGTGTTCAAGGGGGCCTGCCCCTTAGCTCAGTTCTTTAAGTGGCTGCTTCAACAAAGCAGTCAGGCTCAGGTTGCTGTGGTTCCATCCCCACAACCCAAGCCAGCCAAACCTGCCCTGAAGGCATTCGGAGAAAAAAAAAAAAAAAAAAAAGTTCAAGCCTGGTGTATAGGATGTTGCCCTTTTTGAGAGCTTGTTTGGAGGTTCTAGCAGGGGAGCACAGCTACTCGTATACCCTTGACCAAGGAACGGTCCTCCTCTATCAGGGGTGGTCGTCCTCTTCGACCGAGCACGCAGCTTCGGGAGGGACGAACATGGATCATTGAGGGAGGAAGGGGACACCCGCCTAGCCAGCCAGATCAGTCGAATCAACCCTGGCAATCAATGGGGTGACAGATGTCGCAGCCAGATCGCCCTCACATCCG